AGTCTGCTCAGACTGACACACTCTTCTCACCTTTTTGTTTTAAAATTCTGGCCCTTACCAATTTCAGAACTGGTTTTCATTCCAGACCCATCAAAACAGGGGCCAGGAATGAAGACCCCTCCAAGGACGAGAAAGAGCACCTAGCACAGTCGGTGCCCAATCAGAGGGCGAGAAAGATCTGCCGTCCAACTATTTGCATGGCAACAAAAATTAGGACAGCACGATCCCTTTGCTATCTGCGGCTGAAAAGAGTGTCACACACGCCAACTGTCCTCGTTCCAATACTTGTCTGACCGCTAGTGGGACTTGGCCCTCTACGAAAGGTTTTGTTCCTGCCGCAGGGACCTCCGTTTCGTGAGACATTCCCTCTGGCCATCGATGTACATGGATGGTAGGGCGGGCGGACTTTTTCGACATGCCACATCGAGGAAGGAGGTGAATAAGCCAGTTTCCGATTGACCGCAGTTTTCGCGGCATTTTTTATGACTGGTCAATTTTGGTCCTCCTCCGTAGCGCGGTTCGAGTCAAGCTAGAGAAGAGAATTGCCGTTCCGTTTTGAATTCGACTCAGCCAGCGACGGTGAAAATGGGAGGAAAATTTTCCCCGATGTTTGCTGCCATTTTGCACGTGCGTGATTAATACATGAAAGGCTCCGCCACAGTAAGAAATGCTAAAATGTTCCTGTGGTGCTCCTTCCCATGTTCTAGCGGAAGATTCGTATTTTTTCTAATTTGTTGGACCGAGGCGTGGGCAAGGCATCATGTGAATACTGTGGAGAGGGAAAAATATGAAGATCGGCCTCCCTCCACTACTGGCCAATAAATCTTCCGCAGGCAGTAGTGTAGATACACCACCATTTTTCTGTCGTTTGGCATTGTCATAGTTGTTGGAGCGACTAGCAATGTTGTACCAACACGCGTTTGTTGGTAGATGAGCTGTGACGCCAAACCTCACGCCCAGCTCGACTTCCTGATCGGAGTGGGATGTGGGCCTGGAAGTGCGAAAAGGGGTGTGCCAAGGATTTTTGGGAAAGTGGAGTCCCAGGTCAGAACTGAGATCTCCTGTGGCGGGGTTTTTCGTGGGCACNTTTTCGTGGGCACGAGTGCAATTTGGCGAAGGGATGGCGCGCGCGGGTGGCTTAAGGCCGGACGAGCCACTGGTTTCGGGGACGGCGGTTCGTGGGCGGGTCCCTTCGGGGTAGGTGGGGTTCCGATGAGTCAGTCTGTCGGGAGTAGCCACGTGGTGCTGGTCGTCGCGCGTTCGGGTTAGGCCTCCGGAACTCCGGGGTTTTCTGATCGCTGCGTCGTCGGCAGTTCCCGCAGGGTGTGCTGGGCCGGTAGGGGGCTATGGCCGGCCACGGGACGACGCTGAGTTGATGATACGGAATAAGAAGGCGAAAGGGAGGGAAACTGGTGGTGATAATGACAAATCCGGGGTGGATGAAGTAGTAGGTATGGTCCGGAGAAGGGAAATCAGAGCACCGAGGGTCGCTGGTGGTGGCGCAGGGGAATTCCCGCGGACACAGTCGGTTCTCAATGTGGCAGGGGTATCTCTGCCTCAGGATTTCGTTTATCCAAGGGGTGAAGTAATCTGGGTCGTATGATGAGTCGGAATTCCAGGATCGCGTCATTGTGTCATTGCGGTATTACGAGTTGCCTAAGGGCGGTTCCGTGGGGATCGCGGTCGCCGTGTGCGAGCACCTGCAGGCCACGCGAATGGCGTCGGACTTATGCGTGCTCGTGCGGGACGACTGCGCTGCTGCGGATTCCGGGACGGCCATTCCCAATGGGATAGGGCATCTGCGATCAATGGCCCTGACGAGTCGATGCCCGGGGATACGTGTAAGTGCGCAACTCAGATCGTTTTTTACACGTGTCCTCGCGCGGCGTTCGCCAAGCCCGGCATCCGATCGTCTAATCACTCCGTGATGTTCTGAGCATGCAAGATGCAACGATCACAAACAGTTCGATCAAAAGGCAAGCAAAGACAATGACAGAATTATCGATTGCGCAAAATTCCTATTCTATACACGAGTGCATCGAAGGCGACAAACAAAAGCAAGGACAAGGATTCTCAGCAAAAAGATAAACAAGCAAGCATAACATCCATGCATCCATACATTCAGCAATCATACACACAGTGCATCCGAAGTGGAAATCGCAAAGATAAGTGCGAGCAAAAACCCAAGCCCAAATTCCGATAAACAAAAATCGGGCAAATCGCCCAGAGCCGAAATGAAAACTTATATACACAAGACAGGAGGGAGAAAAGATAAAAGAAACAGCAACTCCACGTCCATCAACCTCAACTCTCTCTTCCTCTCTCTCTTCTTCTCCGATGTGGACAGTCCGTCGTCGCGCACCAACTCACGAAGCTGTCACCCCGCTTAGTCCTCCCGCACCCGTCAGGTTCGCCCGCGCCCACAGTCCGTCGTGGCCCGCGTCAACCCCGCGCGTTTGGCACCAGCTCGTCAGGTCGCCCGACTCCTGCTCTGATCACCTCTTACTTCGCTCGTGTGCCAACCCTCTCTGATCGCGCAACCCCGAGCTTCCAACAACGGGTTAAGAGAGTTAACTAATCGCGCAGCCGAAATTTATAGTGTGCATGCATCCGCGAAGAACACGGAATTACAAGGACTTAGAAGAAGGGAAAGGGGAAGGATTGCCTACTTCTGCATGGTCTGATCGCGGCGTGGGGAACGTAGCCGCTCTCCACGCATCGATCTGATCACGCAGACCACGCCTACCAAAAACGCAGAAAAAGAAAGAGAAGAAGGGCGGGAAAGACGAAGCGCAAGAAGAAAGATACAGTTACAATGGTGCCCGCCTAAAATTACAGTTACACACACGATTAAAGGCGCCTACTAATCAGAGTTCCGTTGCAGCCGCATGAAGAAGCGCGTAGACAAAAAGCGCCGCGCAGCAAGGAAAATCCTGATAACGAAATTCTTAAATTCCTATCTAATGCGAAAAAGCAAAAAGCACAAATTCCAGAAGAAAAGTCCGAAGTTCCGAGAGCCATCGAGGCTCGACAAATTCGAAAAAGATTTAAAAGAAAAATTTAAAAAGAACGAAGCAAATTCCAGCGCGATGTCCACACCCAAAAGTTTGGAACCGAAACAAAAGAAACGACGTCAACATTTATTAATCACGAGCGCGGTGGCGCGCCAACCATTCGGTCAACCAATCAATCAACCGGTCGTCCTAGGACACACCCAACTCCGAACCCAGCCATTTCGAAAAGAGGCGACGAAAAAGACGAAAAAGCAAGGACACTGATGCAATTTTCCACCGATCCCGATCTCCCGTAATTGGTCCAACCTTCCCAACTTAGGACCCCTCATTGCAACCGCGCAGAAAGTCACGCGTTACAGAAAGTGGTTCGTCACATACGTAACGCCCAGGGGGTTCCAATATTAGCAAGTTCCTGCTTGCTTGTTGACACGTGTTGATTTCTCTAATCGACCGACACGCAAAGCTCTTCTTTCTATGCCACTTACCGTTCAATTGAGTGTGGACGTCTTCCAACGTGGCATACAAGCTCTTCTACTATTTCCTCAGGAAGGGCTATTGGCAATCCAAGGAGGGGGGCGATCACACCCGTCATAGACTGACACGTGGCAGTCAACCATGCATCCGTATAAAAAGGAGGGTAGACCCTAGACATTCCCGGGGAATGGCAGTCGAACCACCGAGGGTGGAGGTGGCGGATGGTTCAAGGGGAGAGGGGGCATGAATCGATCGATGGCGGGAGAGGCGAAATCAGGAAGGGTAGCGTAGTGGAAGGAGCGATCGATGCGGGGGAAGCGAGGGACCTCATGAAGATGGCGAAAAGCGGTGATGTAGTCGTGGTAGATGGTAGAAAGGATCCGCCGCAGGGCGGCGTGAAAATCTTCGTAGTTTTCGCAGGCGGGAATAGTTACAGATATAATACAGTATATTTCTACATGGTTATATTCCCGCCAGTCTGCGCTAAACAGAAGCACATGAAGGAGAAAGGAATCAACCACAGAGCAGGTGGTGGCATGCGGATAAACGGAGACTAGAAGGCGGGTAGCGTAGAGATGGTAGAAAAGTTGACGGGGGAAAGGACACCAACCATCGGGGAACGGGGGTCTATCGGGAAGACGGGTAAGCATGAGGTAGTCACGAGGTCGGCGAGAGAACGACCGGGGACGAAGCCCGAACGTCGAGATCTTGATGTAGACGAATGGAGGACCGGGACGGGGAGCCGGAGGAAGCTGGCGATTCACTTCTTCTTCTTCTTCTCCGCGATCCCTCCGCTGCGGTTCCATCGTCTTCTTCTTCTAGCGGCTCCGGATCACGCCACGAATCCCCGATCGATGGATCGATAGGAGAAACGTTTGTCGTGGGTCGCTTTCCCTCCGCGGTCTCCTGGCGCTTCCGCTTCCTCTGCTCTTCCTCCTCTTCGTTCTTTTTAYGCGGYTGGCTCGATYYGCTAGCTATCMCCGTTTCTCTTTCCRGGACGTAGTCTGGATCGTCCCGTTCTTCACTCGATGGCTCCTCTTCTTCCTCCTCTTCCTCTGCCCCCCCTATCTCCTCGTCCTGCGCCGCGTTTCTCCTYGCGATCGGGTCCCAAAACGTGAGATCGGTAACGTCGATYTCCAAGTAAAGCGCCTGGGAGGGATAGAGACAGTTRTCCTCGTCAATCTCCGTACACGTGGACCACACAAGGTGCGGCTCGAGCGTTCGAGACAGCACGTGGGTGCCAGGCTGCTCGTCACTGCGTGACAAGATGTCTAGGGGCAGGTCATCCACCAGCTGAGTCAGAAACACCAGCAACTCGTCCATGATCAAGGTGAGATTGCCCTCCTTCACCTTGCCAAATACGAATCCCAGCAGATCGCCCTACTCTGCTGTTCTCCAGGCTTGGATGATCAGAAGCTCCACGCTGTCCTCTGGGTGCTCTGGTCCTTCTCCGAATGGGGCTGCTTTGGACCAGCGGAACTCTATCTCCAATAGACAGAAAGCGAGCTCGATGTAGTCCTCCCAGCACGCGTCCCAATTCTCTTCGCTCAATAGCGGCGCACTGTTCTCCTTAATACGGTAGGAGACAGTAGGGGCTTGCGCAGACTGCCAAAGGGTGGGGATGCTGGAGGGGAGGCCGAAATAGGAGACGCGACGATAACTCATTGGGGCGGCGCGAGGGGAAGAAGCTCAGGGAGCACGATCGCTGACGACCTTCGAGACGAGCGGAGCTGGAAGTCCGTGTCATGCGCCGTCACGACGGTATCTCCTCGTCAAGCAAGGAGATCTGTCCACGCTGTCCGCACTTCCCCGACCCAGGCGCGCAACGTCCGATAGATGTCGGAGTGTTACGCCGGCGGGATCGTTGTGATATCCCCTGTAAAGACGACGATGACGGCGATATGGCTAATCCCGGGGGGGGATAGCCGTCGGAAGGCCGAGATCTCGGCCAGAACGCGCGTAGTTGCCTCCTCCGTGAATCGGAACTCCGCCGCCACGTAGATCGCCGCCGTGCTGAAGAAGGCTGCGAACCGGAGGAGATCAGAGCAGAGATGGGGCCGCTGCACCTCCGTATGACACCGATTCGCCCCCGCGGAGTAAGTAGCCGCGTGCCGATCACTGGCTCTTTTGCAAAGCTCATGGCGATGGTGACGGAGTAATAGAGAAAGAACAGAAAGGAGACGGGGGGACGGGAGATAGGTAGTCGTCGCCCTCTTCCTCAGTCGAGGAGGAATCAGATGAGTGCGAAGATAGGGAAGGAGGAAGGGAACGAAGGTAGGACATGTGGTGGATGATCGGGCGAGCCGATCGGCTGCCGGAGACCTCAGGCGCAAGCCGCACAGTGTTCTTGCCGTTTGGTCCAAGTTCGATCACGCGGAATCGCCCGAAGAATCATGGCGCTAGCTTACCCTGGCGAGCACATTTCCTCACATGCACAATGTCCCCTAATTTGTACTGGGGCCGTGGGCCTGCGTTCCCATTCCGGGCCTCGTAACTTCGGACCTGTCGGCCTTGGGCCAACTCGGTCATTCTGTGCCATTTTCGGGCTAGCCTGGGCAGGGACCGTTCCATTAATTCTAAGTGTCGTTTGGCCTTGTCCCGAGCCGTGGCCCTGGTGGGTCGCCGGTTCAGTGTAGATTCATCTGGGAGGCTTGGTATCGAAACGCAAGCGACGCTATTGGTCCTTAATTGGAAAGGACTTAGCCCCGTCGATTCATGAGGTGTACCGCGATGGACCGCCAGGATGTGGTCGACGATATCGGGCCAGGGCCTCGGATCCCGTGCCACGATATTTCGTCGCAACGCTGTCTTTATCACCCTGTTCGCGTTTTCTACCAGCCTATTGGACTGTGACATGTGGGGTGCTGTGTTCCGTATGGCGACACCATGTATGACCAGATTCCTCAGTACCTCTCCCCTAAATTCAGCCCCGTTATCGGTCAGGATCTCTTCCGTATCCTGGTGCATCCCAAGGAAACGGTTGACATATCGTGCGATTTCAGCGGCTTGCCGCGTGCGACAAGGGTAGGCCTCGATCCATTTCGAAAAATGGTCGACGAATACCAACAGGACTGAATACTCACAACTATTAGGACCAGGGGTCACCACTATGTCGGTAGTATCCATGCCGACTCTTTGAAATGGCCATTCAAGCACTATCGATCTTGGCAGTTGAATCGACGCTTTATCTGCGGCGCAGACTTGACAGTTGGCGAAGATGTACTTCACATCGTCACGGATATTGGACCAGTACCACTCATTTTTGTCGATAGCCGACTCTGTGATCCGTACGGCGAAATGAGCCGCCGTTTCTTCATGTGCCGTCTTAACCCAGTCATACCACACGAACGGATGCGGTACAACCATCCAAATCCCACTGCCGTCTGTTTTCCGTTTTTCTAATCTACCCTCTATCCATCTGTAATCCCGAGCCCTCTCGTTAGCCCTCCTCCGATCTTCCTTGGTGAAATCTTGGAGGGGGTTACCCACTAAGGTGGCAATCAAGGCGATATCAGTCCATACTTCGACCCTTATAAACTTTCGGGTCTTTTCCAACCCTTCTGACGTGGCATCCAAAAAGCGAGCCTCGGTCGGAATCTTGTCAATCCGACACAAGGGGCACAACCATGGTTTACTGTCGTTTCTGTATTGGATGCACGAGCCATGGGCTCGTGCGACACACTGTTGACAATCTATCCATTCCGCATACCCTTCCCCGTTAGGACGCATGGAGACCGAGTGCACGCGGGAGATAGCTTCGCAAAAATAGCAAAATTGTCAGGCAGGGAGAGGAGAGACGAAGAAGAGAGGGGAGAAAGAGGGGTAGTGGGGTTATCTCCATCACCCATTGCCACCGTTCTGCTTCTTGCCACGTGGGAGAACTGCCACTTGTCCGTACTTAGGCTCGTTTGTCAAGTCCGGCTCCTTCCACGGTGTAATTTCCTCGCCCTTTGGTACTTTAGCAGGTCGATGTAGACGTGTCAGTCCGTCCGCGTTGCCGTGTCGCTCTGTCTTTCGGTGAACGATATCGAAGTCGTACTCTTGTAGTCGCACCGCCCAACGGCCAATCATGCCCGTGTAATTAGTGAGCTTCTTCAACGCCAGCAAGGGTTTGTGATCTGTTACGAGGCGAAACTTCTGTCCGTAGAGATACGGATGGAAGTGCTGGATTTCCCAAACTACTGCATAGCATTCGCCTTAAGGCGTCGAGTCATTCCTCCGCTCGTCCGGTACCATGCGCGACGCGTACTCGATGACGTGTTCACGACCATCGTTCCTCTTCTGCCGTAGAATAGCGGAGATAGCCCCCTGTTGCCAGCCGTGATGAGAATGAACTGCTTAGAGGGGTCCGATCGGATCAAAATAGGAGTCGTCGCCAGAGCGTTCTTGAGGGTCGCGAAGGCCTGTTGGCACTCTGCGTCCCAACTGAGAGGCTGGTCCTTCCGTAGCAGGTTCGTTAGTGGTCGTGCAATCGCGGCGAAACCCTTGATGAAGAGGCGATAATACGATGCCAACCCTAAAAAGGCTCGAACTTGCGTCAGTGACGTGGGAACTGGGGCTTCCCTTACCGCCGCGACCTTTCTTGAGTCGGGCCGCAGTCCTCCACGTGTCACGACGTAGCCCAAGAACGAAATTTCCGAATGGAAAAATTCGCTCTTTTCGAGCGTGATTTTGAACCCAGCATCTCTCGGCGCTCCCAATATCCACTCGATGTGTTGCGCGTGCCCGTGATAGATCTCTGAGTAGACAAGGATATCGTTCATGTACACGATCACGCAGAAGTTGATCATCCCGTGTGTTAGCCGCGTCTTGTTGACGAAGTTCTGGAATGTCATGTTCATCGCTCGTTGAAACGTGGCAGGCACGTTGCAAATCACCATCGGGCACCAAACCCACTGCCACGTGCCTTCAAACAACACGAAGGTCGTCTTTGGCCGATCTTCCTCCTTCACCAGAATGTGATGGAAGTCATGCCGAATATCGAACTTGCTAAAATAATTGGCGCAACCAATCGCATCCAACAAATCATCAATTCGGGGGAGGGGATACACATCTTTAATCGTGATTTCATTCAACTTACGATAATCGATGCATATGCGAATTGATCCGTTTTTCATCGGCACTAACACTACGGGAAATGACCCATGGTGGGTTGGCGGGTTCAATCCACCCGCTGACTTCGAACTCCCGAATTCGTTCGAGAGCCTTTTTGCGTTCTATCAGGGAGTATCGGTAGGGCTTGCAGTGGATTGGGGAATGATTTCCCGTCTGAATTTCGTGTTGAATAACTAACGACAAGCCAATGTCAGTGTCTGTCACGCTAATCGCTTCCTGATATTCCGTCATAATATCCGCGATCACCCGATGAATCTCATCAGGCACATACTGCGGAACGTGCAGTTCAAAAAGTTGATCCCGGATTCGTACGTCAACTTGCTTCATGGGTGCCTGTTTCACCACGTCGGGTGGTGGCGCAGAGATGAACGAATGGTCCGATCGCCAGGAGAACACCGTGGCCATCATTTGGGCATCTTCCTCCCGGATGGCCGCGTGCCCTTCCGAGGTGATCCCATCACAGATATCTCGCCATGGCACGGTTTTAGTTGCGATCTTTATTCCGAGTTCGTCTGATTCTGCCTCAAGATGCCCAGGGGGTTCCAGAGAACTGGCCTCTGCCCCCAAGCGTAGCAACCGTACTTCTTTGGCGGATGTTAACAGGGACTTCGGTAGATCCGTAATATCGCAGTAATGCTTTTTGTCACTGTACCGGGCGAGGATAGGGGTGATTCCTTCGTACAAGGTTTGAGGGGGTTCCAAGGAATCGACCATCCTCGAAATCTGTACGAGGGGTTCACCCAAGATCATCACCTTGGTCCTTTGAATGTTCCGACTGGTCAGATGCATCGTTCTTGCCATCGTTTTGGTTGGCGAGTAGTAAACATGCTGTCGTGCAAGCTTCGAGATTTCCTGATCGTCCTCATCACTGTTGTCCGCATCATTCGTTGATGACTCGCCGTCCGCGGACTCTTCCCAGGAGATCATACGGAGAGTTCCTGCTAACATCGGCGAGACCCGTGGGACCGCGTTGATGGTAGTACGAAGGGTTAATCTCATAGGTACAGCATAAGGTTTTCCTCCCGTATTTCGGAGGATAATCGATCGCCGTTCGAAGTCCGGTTCGCTCGTAATGCCACGAGAGCGGGAAGTCCGAAAAGAACGTCGTAGGTATTTACGTCTAGTACCACAACATCTCCCAATGCGGGCACCTTTCCTAATCGGAAGGCGATATTGGTCATTCTTCCCACTGTCTTAATGTTTTCTTCGTCGGCCGAAACGAGCTGATCTTTCTCGAAAAGCATGATTAGATCGTTTTTCCTACCTACCCTCTCAACCACTCTTAGTGAGATAGCCAAAACAGCAGCTCCCGAATTGATGATCGCATTATACGGAATTCCCCATGGTTCGATATCGCATTCTGCGGATTTCCATGGGATGGGTTTAATTCGCAGGAAATGGTCATCTTTCTGTATTAGTCCTACCCGTATTGGATCCGAAGTGCCAACCGGGTTTTCCTCGCGGGCGGGATTTTTAGGCTTTACGTTCGGTATTCGGGCGAGGGCGAATCGTTTTCGGTTCGCCTTGCAGTGCTGTAGCATTCGCTCATTAGCTTGCTCAGAGATCGAGAGCAGATGACCGATCGGAAGCGGAATCGGATGGTCCAAGGCTCGAACGATGTTAAGCACATCGATTTCCCCAGTGACGAAGGTGGGTCCTCCCGAATCCATCTCACCTGGAGAAGGTCGCCACTCCGCCACTTCTTTCTGTTCTGGCGCTGGTCTGATCGTTCTGATCATTCCAAGCCCGGGATAACCAAGTGATACGTACTGATCTAACGGGATGAGCTCAGCGGCCTCTTCCGTGGTGGCTTAGGCACTTCCCCCACCCTCTACTTCTTCCATTAAAGCTCCGACTCGTCCTGGTCCGTTAGCGATGGGGGTCGCGGCCATCGACGCGACCCCGACACATTGTTGCAGAGGCCTGTGAGGGCAATCACGGGCTAGATGCCCTGGTTGATGACAGGCATAACAGACATTCAGATTGCTTGCGGCTCCTCCAAGAGCGGGTGCCAGGGCTAATCCTTGTTGAATCGGAGGGGCACTCACCGCAATGGGCCGCATGTTTCTCCTCATGGCTGCTAACCGAGCATTGTGCTCTCGCTGCTCCTTTTGCTTTCCTGAATTAGGTTAATTAGTGTTTTGGTCAGCTCAAAGATAGCAGTGGACTCATTGGCTCTTATCGGGTTTTCAACGGGTGGCGAGGGTAACGCCCTTACGGGTGTTGGTATCATAGGGACAAGAATACTCGGGATCTCACTTGGGTTTGGTCTTTCTGGACCTATCTGCTCCAGATAGGTGACGGGGCCAGACACAAATCCCATATTTTCAAACTTGTTCTGTAACGCAACCAGCGCGGCTCTCGCTCGTGCGAGTTCGGATGAATCTCCTTCAGTAGAATAATCTTCTCCTTCCAGGAAGTTCGCCGCGAACTTCCGTTCCATTTCTTCCGCGGCAGCCATGATTTGTTGCAGCGTGTGAGTGATGGGGGAAAATTGCTTTCGCAACTTAGCCCTTATTGTTCGGCTGCGAAGCCCATCAATTAACAAATCCCTGCCGACTTGTTCGCCTCGCTCAATTTTCACAAACATTCGGTAGAACCGGTTCCGATACTCTGCGACAAACTCGAGAGGTTTTTGTACTCGGTCTTTGATCATGTAGAGTGCTTGCTCTGGGTGGACATAATCGAATCGATTCAGGAAATCCCGTTCGAAGGTCGGAAGATCAACCCATACATAGGTACTAAACCAATGATGAGCGTCCCCTCCTAATCGAGCAGGAATGTTTATCTGCGCCTCGTTGTCATCATACTGCTGTGCTCTAAGCGTGGCCAGCCATACTCCTGCGAGATGATGTGCTGGATTGAATAGATAGAGATCAGGTGGCGTCATGGGAGCCCGTGCTCGTGGGGCGGGTTGATTAGGATTCGGTTGATTAGCATTCTGTTGCGGATTCGGGTTTTGCACATTACCAGCCATATTGGCTGCTCGTCGATTAGCCGATCTGCTTCGGGTGACGATAGGGTCGCGTCTATGCGCGTTTCGGGGGCGAGGCCGCCCTCGGTTAGCCAGATCACTCAAGTAACGTGCTATTAATCTTAAGACCCAGCCACGTGTCGGGCTCCGATACCAACCTCACGCCCAGCGCGACTGCCTGATCGGAGTGGGATGTGGGYCTGGAAGTGCGAAAAGGGGTGTGCCAAGGATTTTTGGGAAAGTGGAGTCCCAGGTCAGAACTGAGATCTCCTGTGGCGGGGTTTTTCGTGGGCACGAGTGCAATTTGGCGAAGGGATGGCGCGCGCGGGTGGCTTAAGGTCGGGCGAGCCACTGTTTTCGGGAACGGCAGTTCGTGGGCGGGTCCCTTCGGGGTAGGTGGGGTTCCGACGAGTCAGTCTGTCGGGAGTTGCCACGTTGTGCTGGTCGTTGCGCGTTCGGGTTAGGCCTCCGGAACTCCGGGGTTCTCTGATCACCGCGTCGTCGACAGTTCCCGCAGGGTGTGCTGGGCCAGTAGGGGGCTATGGCCAGCCACGGGACAACGCTGAGTTGATGATACAGAAGAAGAAGGCGAAAGGGAGGGAAACTGGTGGTGATAACGACAAATCCGGGGTGGATGAAGTAGTAGGTATGGTCCGGAGAAGGGAAATCGGAGCATCGGGGGTCGTTGGTGGTGGCGCAATGGAATTCCCACGGACACATTCGTTTCTCAGTGTGGCAAGGGTACCTCTGCCTCAGGATTTCGTTTATCCAAGGGGTGAAGTAATATGGGTCGTATGATGAGCCGGAATTCCAGAATCGCGTCATTGTGTTATTGCGGTATTACGAGTTGCCTAAGGGCGGTTCCGTGGCGATCGCGGTCGCCGTGTGCGAGCACGTGCAGGCCACGCGAATGGCGTCGGACTTATGCGTGCTCGTGCGGGACGACTGCGCTGCTGCGGATTCCGGGACGACCATTCCCAATGGGATAGGGCATCTACGATCGATGACCCTGACGAGTCGACGCCCGGGGATACGTGTAAGTGCGCAACTCAGATCGTTTTTTACACGTGTCCTCGCGCGGCGTTCGCTAAGCCCGGCATCCGATCGTCTAATCACTCCGTGATGTTCTGAGCATGCAAGATGCAACGATCACAAACAGCTCAATCAAAAGGCAAGCAAAGACAAGGACAGAATTATCGATTGCGCAAAATTCCTATTCTACACACGAGTGCATCGAAGGCGACAAACAAAAGCAATGACAAGTATTCTCAGCAAAAAGATAAACAAGCAAGCATAGCATTCATACATCCATACATTCAGCAGTCATACACACAGTGCATCCGAAGTGGAAATCGCAAAGATAAGTGCGAGCAAAAACCCAAGCCCAAATTCCGATAATCAAAAGTCGGGCAAATCGCCCAGAGCCGAAATCAAAACTTATATACACAAGACAGGAGCGAGAAAAGATAAAAGAAACAACAACTCCGTGTCCATCAACCTCAACTCTCTCTTCCTCTCTCTCTTCTTCTTCGATGCGGACAGTCCGTCGTCGCGCACCAACTCACGAAGCCGTCACCCCGCTTAGTCCTCCCGCACCCGCAAGGTTCGCCAGCGCCCACAGTCCGTCGTGGCCCGCGTCAACCCCTCGAGTTTGGCACCAGCTCGTCAGGTCGCCCGACTCCTGCTCTGCTCACCTCTTACTTCGCTCGTGTGCTGACCCTCTCTAATCACGCAACCCCGAGCTTCCAACAACGGGTTAAGAGAGTTAACTAATCGCGCAGCCGGAATTTATAGCGTGCATACATGCGCGAAGCAGACATGCTGTGGGCCTCTACTCACCACATGCACAAAAGACAAAATATATGGCAGTGTATTATTCCACGTTTTAGTATAAGATCTTTTTTTTCTTTTTTTTTTTTTTTTTTTTGCAAACCCAGGGTGTTGTAGAGGTCAAGGACTAGACCCGCGGTGATTGCTGGTAGCAACAGCCAATGGTTGTCTTGACAGTGCTGGCCACCTACCCCACCCATCCCCACATTAATACTCCCCGCGCACCCTTGTCCCTACTATCCTACCTCAGTGTGACCAACACTCAGGACCATCACCCTACTAGTATTAAAGGCAACTTGGACCAGACAGCAGTGACGTGCACCAGGGCTGGGCCAACCTCCCAGCCCTAATGGAAGCGGAAGCAGATGAACCTTGCCGTACGGGAACTTCGAACGCCATGCTCATGCAATCTTCTACAGGCCCAATTCAGACCCCGTCATGCAATCTTCTACAGGCCCTAGAGCTAAGTCATGCATGCGTAGACCCCGTCATGCACATTTGGTGAGTACGACAGCCAAACCCTAAGAAACCTACCGCCACATTCCCCAACCCCCACACCCCAAAATTTGCCCCAACATCCCCCATCCCCCATCCCCTAACCCCCGGCTCGCCCAGTTGTGTGTGTTTTTGTGCGTTTGTGTGTGTTGTGTGTGTGTGTGTGTTTATGTGTGTTTGTGTGTGTTGTTTGTCTGTATGTGTGTGTTTATGTGTTTATGTGTTTGTGTGTGTTATGTGTCTGTCTAACTGTGTGTCTGTGTGTGTGTGCGTGTCTTTATTTTTATTTTTTATTTATTTTTTATGTTTTTTTAATTTGTTTAAATACATGAAGTTAAAAAAAAAAACAAAAAAGTATGTTGTTCTGCATGTTTGAAAGATCTACAACCCTATATTTTTTATTTGTTTTACTTTTTTGTTTTAGTCCTTAAAAAATCTCTGTGAAAAAAAAAAAAAAACACTCATTTCATTTTTGTTTTTGTTTTTTTTTTATTTTGCTTATGTGTTTTATTTTTTTTAATATTTTGAAACATCAAAAAATAAAAATAAAAATAAAAGGTTGTAGTCCTCGAAAAAACCTACAACCCTATTTTTTTGGGGGGGAAGGATTGTGTTTAGACTAGGAAAAAAATCATTGCAGACCCCGTTTATACGCATATAACACGCGTTTAAACGGGATTTGACGCGAATTCAACGCACGTTGAATAATTCAACGTGGAAACCACGTTGAATCGAAAATCGAACACATAGACGTTAATGAATTT